ATAAGTAATATGTGCGGTATTGGCCTAGACAGCCTTATTGAGCATCCAGTCAGATCATAGTGGGTAGGCAGATATCTCTGTCAGAGCTCTGTGATAGACAGGCTCTGCAAAATACTACTCAGACTAACTATCCACTCCATGGTAGATCCTCCCTCAGGTATTGCGTATTATCTGCCTAAGAGGTCAAATAAATACACAGCCCTTTATCTATCAGCTATCTTATTACTGAACATGACTCATTATAAGCTTGTTTGCATTGCATTCTTGTATCTGCTAGTTTGTATTTTACCTTGTCTTCCCTTGCTTCTTTTTAGGTTTCATTGTTTATGTTTGTATCTGCTACAAACCAACTGCTCTATGGAAATAATTAATTCAAAATTGAGTGGTTTTGGAATTTTGTGCATGGATTTTAAGGACACCTTTTAGCCACTAGGAAGCTTTATTTATTATTATTATTTTTTTACATACAGTGGTTAAATGTAAATCTGGAATTAATATGAACATCAATGGTTACGTGGATATTAGCTCTATGGTACTAAATCACACATGCAGTGTAATTCATATATATGAATAGTCTTCTTTATTAAATATACACCTCCACATCCCCTCTTACTGCATCACAAATGTAAAACAAAGCTAGTCGCAGGGCCAGAATTTATAAACAGCATCGATCTGACCTGATGTAACAGGTATACAGGCTGGTTGTGGTGCTAGGTTGAGTTGAAATTCAGTCCATTGATTGTCTTATCTATTTTCATATTGTACTAAAATCAGTTTAGTAAAATTTACAAAAACCCTTATTTGGGCTGTTTGAAATATGTTTTGCATTCATGTTCACACAGCTATAGTTTTAGTCAAACAAATCTGATTCCAGTATGCGGGACTATTTCCTGCTCTCTAGAGAATGTTTGCTCTTCTTTTGTTGCACTTGGGCTTCTAAGCATGACACATTTGTGGCTGTCAACATCTATCATCCTTTACTCACAAAACCCTTCATCTTCTTAAGGTTGTTTCTTTTAGTCAGTGAAATTTTGTTTTCATGCCTCTCAACCCTCAGTACGTGTCTCGAGGCCCGAGACTCTGATTCTCAATGTTTAATTTCATTGTTCATACTTGGCTGATGTGAAAATGTCGGGGAAGCTATACCTGGCATGTTTGAAAGAAACACATCACAAACGCTTAACTACACATCATATAGAATTGGATAGAGTGTTTCTGCATACTGTAAAATCAGTCACAGAGGTACAGTGATATGTTGAGTCTGGTAGCACCACACCTCTTTCCTATGCAGATGTTTGGTGAAAATGAGTCATGGTTATACTTAACACTGGATGTAAGTACATATTACCTGTAGGGCTTTTTTTTCTACAGGATTTAAGCGAGAAGGCTCTCTGTGCCAAAAATAATTTCCTATCGGTGTTGCCACAATGTTGCCTTGGGAGTTCAGCGAAGAATATGTTATGTGCTTGTACCATTTAATATTGAACTGTGTTCCTTTGATTCGCCTCATATTGCATCATCACTGTCTTGTTTAGGCAATATTGCCCACAAGGAGGGTGAATCTGTACTCACACTAGCGTACTCCTCCTTTTTTTTTTGATTACATTGATTCACTTTGAACAACTTCAATTCTGAATGACCATTTCATGTCTCCTTCCACCACCCTGCTGTGCTTGCACTGTGTTGGCATCACAACTGTGTCTTGGAGGAATAGCAAAATGCCAACCCTTATTCAAGCCTCACAAAACAGCTAGTAGCTATGTTGTACCTCTGAAAAGCAGCAGTGGAAACAACCCATGGCTTACATTTAGACCTCACTGACAGCCAAGCTTTTAAAGAGGTGGTATTATGGTTTTTGGCTTTTTCCCTCTCCTTTATTGAGTTATATATCTTTTTGTGCATGTACTAGGTTTGCAAAGTAAAAAAGCCCAAAGTCCAGCCCAAAGGGGTCCCATCTCCCACAGAAAACACTGCTCTGAACTGCCTGAAAAGAGCATGTTTGTAGTCCAGCCTTTACTTTCCTTTCTTGTGACGTCACAATGAAAATACGTTTTATAATGTTCACGGAGTGACACACCCTCAAAAACACCGGTGGAAAAACACTGAGCTCCAGCACATACCTCTCCTCTCCCTTCCAAATACTAGCTCCACTTCAGGCAGTCAGTGGACATAAAGTTGTTACTGTGATGTAGAGACAGAAAATTAAACCATGTAAACCTGTTCTGGTACAACCTCTAAATAGGATTTTGAACCTGAAAATGAGCATAATACCACCTCTTTAACAACCCCAAGAAGGGAGACGATGTGAGGTGAACACTTTTAAAATAATATTTCATTAAACAGCTAATGTCATTCAAGATAAAGTTTTGCCTTTTCTTTATATGCAGTTTAATTCATTAGAGGATGTCTAATAAAAAGGTTTAACATTTTTTCTTTTACATTTCCACAGTCACACACACTTTTTCAACTGTTCTAGGTTCTTTGTCATGGTTTTCGATTTTAAACAGGATACTAAACGAGAGAACCTCCAAAAAGAGCACCCCCATAACGATGTCCTCCAGACTTTGCATCAAAGTGCCATTATAGTATTTTCTGTTTGCCACTCAGTGAGTAAGTTGAGTACCCATACAAAGTACAAAACCCTCTCTTTACTTGTCATGTCTGAAAGCTTGAAAGCCTTTCTCATCTTTTCAAGAGCAGGAATTGCTATCATTTGCCTTGCAAAGCTTGAAAGCTTTCAGCTACTTTTTCAAGCAGGACCTGCTATAATTCATTGAACAACAAGCAAGACAAAGCTGAAAAGTCTTTGAGAGAATGGCAAAACATGTCAGTGAAGGAAATGAGGCAAGGGAAAATACCGCCCATACTACAGATGGACTGAAGCCGACAGATCAGCCTGCCTAATTGAAGGGAGACGATAAACAATAATATCATGTCAGGGGGACTGGACAGCCAAATTTGCTATTACAGTACATACCTATGAGTGTCAGTTTATCATTGTTAGCCCTGTGATGGACTCCTGACACCAAGCATGAAATACCCAGTCATACTCATAATATTTTAAATGTCTTTTTATATAGTACTGTGCCAGGTAAGGGGGTTGTGCAGGATACGAGGGGTGTGGCATAAAATCGATACAGCAATATATCGTTATACATTTGTCTGTGATACTGTATCGATATTCAAGCTCATCATTATCGATACATAAAATAAAAAAATAGCACTTGGACGGTTAGCATTGCGATAATATAATCTAAACCACACATTTTGCTTCACATGGTTAACATCCTGAGTGACATATTGCGCAAATACTTAAAGTACATATGTTTCCTGAGCTCTGTGTGAAATGAAAAAGAGCTGCTACCTTCACTGGCTTGATCTGCTACTCCACTGCTTCAGCACGCCACACAGACTAGCTACAGCAACCCCAAAGGGTTAAAACTCAAACCCAAAATTTCCACTGTCCTAAAATTACAGCTATCACTAGGTGGAGAAAGGGCAGCACAATGCTGTGTAACTGAACAGTTATTAATATAATGTGAAGCACATATTAGACTTAGGTGTAGCAATTTGTATTTTCTGTACAAAGATTCAGTAAATTTTGTATTCATAGTTACACAGATATCGTGATGTATCATTTTAGGATTGTCTATCGATTAACTCAGAATTACTGTATCGTGATAGTATCGTTATCCTGAGCCATGTATCATATATCGTATCGTGAGGTACCCCGCAATTCCCACCCCTACAGGATACAGAGTTCAATAGTGGCTCAAGCAACTGCTCCTTTGTTCTTTTTACCTCAAGTACCCCTCTGAACCAAATAGCCTAAATAATTATTATAAATATTACTTTCCTTCCTTCCTTTGGTCTAATGGTTCCTTCTTTAGAATCAGAAATTTGTCTTTGATATGACTCGCCTGTAGCCTGGTTTTCATGTTTGACTAAGACTAAGCTCATAGTGAGTGTTTCATTGTTAATTAGATTCCATAAAAAACGTATCAACAGGACTTTCACAAGGCCCAGAGAGAGTCAACACCTTTGGAAACACCTTATCTGTAAAAATGAAATTCTTTATTACATCTTCAGATGTGCACACATTAAATCATTCAGTACTAAAAGGCAAACTTCTGTTGAAAAGCCTATACTGTATGTGCATCTTTCACACAGCTTTTTGCATTTATTGATGTGTGCACGGTAAGAGTGGTAAAAGCACATGGCTTCAAACTGTTTTTAAGGTGAGTTTATTATTTCTCATTAAACAGTAAAGTAGTTCAGCAGTGGTGACTACATATTGGTTTGGTTCTGTGTTATAAATTTTGGGCTGCAGTTGTTACTAAAACAATAACAGATTTTTTTCACATTTGTACTATTTGTCCCCTTTTATTTAGAAAACCTCTGAACAGGACACATAGTTAAAACTCATTCATAAAACTATGACAAAAAATGATTAAAAATCAAATAAAGCTGGATGAATTCATTTCATGATACTTCAATTTTATTTTAAAAATTATAATTTTAGTTATATTAAATATTTTGATGGAATAATCATAAAGTAAATAAGTCATTTAAACAATATAAGATATTTTCTAAGAAATAATAACCCTATGATATGAATAAGATACACAGCAAACAGAGTAAATGTAGTTATAGATCAGTTGTTAATTTTCTTTACACGTAATCATTAGATGTGGGGTAAATGTCTTATTTTTAAGAATAGTGTTACCCCTGGATTAACTCTTAAAAGTATTTAAAAAAGTCTTAAATTTCATTACCAAAGTATTAAATGTTGTTTACCAAGGTCTTCAATTTTTTCTTGTCCTTTCGTAGGATTTAATTAATGCCAAACGTCATAAATTAATACTTTGAGTGTGTGAGACTTCATAATATACTCCGTTTGGTGTGACTCTGATCTTATACGGCAGTACAGGTGACGTTCCTGTTTACGTCAGTGTTTACGGCTTTACGCTAGTCACACTGTGGCGCTAATGGAACAGCAGAGCTGGGAGACGCGCTGCAGGTTACTGGTCAGTGAATGATACAACAGCAACAGAGAGACAGGTGTGTGTGAGACGAGGACCGCCGCTGTCGTAGGCTAACGTTATGTGAATGGAAACATCAAACTAACGCACATTAAAGTTCCGTCACCCAGGTGCGCCGATCACTGGAACGAGGGAAAAACAAACCGGAGCCCAAGTCCTTATCCCTGCTGCTTTCAAGCCAATACTATATAATACTATATTTCAAGCAGCCTTTAGATGCTTTAGAAAAACAGAACAGGATGAATAATCACTGAAGCAATTAGCATATTATATTACATGACCTTATCTAGCCAAGGTGTAACTAATTGCAACAACTCATACCACACAATTTGTTTGTATTTTTGATTTCACCCCTTTAATAGTTCTTAGTGAACAAATATTGTATTCATTCCATAGGTTTCATTTACACTGTGGATACTGGGGACATGTCTCCATTACTTTTTTTAAAAGCATTTGTTAAATATGTTCTGAAAAATGGCTTGCAACAAGAAATGTTAAAAAACAAATGAAAATACTTTGAGAAAGGTTTATTTGCACAATTAGAAAACATGCAATGCAATTTAAAGATAAAAGAAACAAATGTGCATTTGTTCAAAAAAGTTTAAGCTAAAAACATCTGAATCACTTTAATTAAATAAAGACAATTCTACTATAATTTGGTGCAGAAAATGTCTCCAGAATGCAGGAAATTAAGTGTTTAGTGCTCAAGATTTTCTAGGGGACCCCTATTTAAATATATTTCAGCATTGAATATTTAATCAAATAGTGTTAAAATATCTTCTTGTCTTGTTCTTCTGAACCTAATATTGTGAATCGTGCATGTGAGCTAAGTGTATCGTCACACCCATAATCTGGACCCTTATGCCCCCACCACTTTTTCAACACAAAGTGACGTCCTTGATTAATTTTATCTTATTAAAGTACAAACACACCCCAAGCTATAGTGTGTTAAATATGAATGTATTATAATAAAATGTTTTATTAAATTCATGTAACTTCGTAAATAATTTTCTCAGGCTTAAAATTAACACAGATTTTCCATTAAACGGCAGTGAAGTTCCTAGGTTGTATTAAAAAGGTCTTAAAAAGTCTTAAATTTAACTTTGAGAATCCTGGGGGTCCCCTGTAACTGTTCCGGAGATATTTTGCCAGGATCTAATTAGCAAACTCGCACTTTAAAGTTATGTTAAACTTTGATACAGTTTGGTGACAATGTAGCTTAAATTCCTATATCTTTGCAGCTCATTATTTCAGCCACACCATTTTAGTCACAGTGGACTCAACATCGTTGAAACTTGGTGATACAGTCTCGAACTCGTATAATTTGTATTACATTTCTTATTGTTTTTGTAATGTTTGTTAAGTGTTTGGGGTTTAAATATTCTTATAATGTTTTCAGAAGTATTTGCACCGGAATGGAATTTGGTAATTACAAGATTTCATGGTGTTACATTATGGTGTGTTCCTGCAGAAAGCAACTACTGGATTATGAAATAATAAACAGAATTTGTTGTTGCTTAAAGCAACACTATGTAGCAATTTTATCTTAGAATAACAGCTTCAAAATAATTTTGATGATACACTGACTTGTAATAGGGTGAGTGGTGTCTCTGTCATTGCCACTCTGGTCCGAGGTGCTGGTTATTGGCGTTATGTGACATTTGAGTCCTATGCACAAACAACGTTTCGTGGCAATGGCGTAATGCTTTACGGCACCAACTCAACTCCTCAGCAAGCTACAAGAAGGAGCAAAAAGTATATAATATACAATGTAAGTTCTCTGGAAGAAGCTAGCTCGGTATTCTCAGTATAGATGTCATGGTAGAAGAGACCAAGACATTATCGAAAAATGCGAGGAAGAGAAAGAGAGTGACCGATCAAAAGACCCGAGAAGAGTAGTTATCGGACCGTTTTTTACTCGTTGGCATGAGCTAAAAGTATGCAACACAGAAGCCGAGTTGGCCTTCTTGCTGTTGGACTAGTTATTAGCTGGCTTGCTGAGTCTGTTGTTGTTGCGCTTGCTAGATGTTTGGCTGTGTTAGCAAAGTTGTTGACTTGAGCAAATCAGCCTGGGGTTTCACAGTCAGAGGTTTAGCCTGCTGTCTGGCTTTCCAACCAAGTTTCACGCAAGATTACGCTGCTGGTGGTGTCGAGCCGGAGTCGGGCGAGCAGGCAACATTTACTGGGCTCAGCAGCTTCTATGGACATAACGTGTTAGAGGTAAAGAGACTTAAGTTGACATGTTATTTTAAGATAAAATTACTACATAATGTTGCTTTAAAAGTCTGAATTAATGCTTTGTTTCGTCGGTTTCACAAGACAACAAGCAAACAACTTAACTGTGTAACTTAAAATGCGTGTTTTCTGAATGGCGTTCGGATTGATCAGGGCTATGATGTGCAAACTTATTTCATAATAAAGTACAACTGCTAGAATCAAATAACATATACATATTTTCAGAACTTACCAGGTTGTCCAACTTCCCCCCCTTACTTTTCTCCAAGCAATCTCCTTTTTTGTCCAGTCTATACAGTAGTATCATAGAGCTCTATGTGCCCACTGATGGCTACAAAATTTGGTGAACACTGTAATCGGCTATGGATAGCTAAAGTGAATTTAGTTTTATGAATGAGGCTTCATTTTAGGAGCTACAATGCCCTTGATAGAGAGATGACAGAGGCAGAGAGTAAAAGGCCTTATGGAGAAAGAGCTGCTGGTTGGTTTCAAAGCAGCAGCTGACCAAAAGATGATGATCATTAATCTGTGTCTTTTGTTTGAAGTTGGAAGTAAGTGTGTTTTATGAACTGTAAAACATTACAGCCTATTTTGTAAATTGGGTGCCCTTTTAACATGACAGTGTAAATGTTATTTATGTGGTGACCACATCATCAGATCAGTTTATCCACTGTAATTAGGACACAAGTATATGTGTGTGCCTATATGAGAGTTGAATGGAGGAGGGGGTGTTTATTGATTAGTTTCTGGTCACATCCCTGCCAGATAAATCACATCTGGGTCTTATAGCTATGGTAGGACATTTACTTTAGAAGTCCTTCTGTTACATTTCTTGAAATTCTCTTCACGTTGATAGATTATCCTATTTTCGTCACATCACATTTAACAGACTGCATCTCCCATGAATCTGTGCTCTAAGTATGTTGCCATGACAACATATTACTGCTCCCCAGGCACTGTTGGACAATACGGTGAAAGTAAAATAATTCAGTTCTGGGGACAGTTTATATGTAGTTTTTGAGTAAAAATAAATAGTTTTTAATTGAGTTAAAATAACCAGATGCACTCATTTTTATTAGAATTTATTTTTGTTTGCATTCTTTATATTTTATATCGAGATATCAAGACAAACACCAAGGTTGTCTTCAAATCTGCTCAGTGTGCCATAGACATGAATACACACTCTTTTTTTTCTGACTCTGCTAACTGCTAACACGTAGCCCCTACATGGCAGAACTAATGAGCTCACTATCTATTGGTTCTTTATTTTTTTTTACATCCCATTGCTGCAGTATAATTCATAGTTGTGTTTGTGTTGATTGCGATGTTTAACAAGCCCCCCAGAAGGTCACATAAGTTGTTTTACAACCTTTCCTGCTAGTCTGATTTACCCATGCTTCATTTAAAGAGTGCATGTATGGTTCTGTATGTATGCACCCAAATCCACAAGTTGTTGGCAACCTTGTTAATTAGCTGCATAAAGGTCATATACCATATAAGTAATGGAAGGAGTTACACAATTTCACCACAACTGGACATTATTTTTAGAGTAGTAATGCTGGACTGTTATTTTCACACTTTATTAGACTAGAGAAACACCTTTCAGTGGACATTATTTTGCATTAATGCTTATTGGTACTGCCATATTTCTCTGGTTAAAAGCCAAATCCAATGTGTTTTCACAATGAAATAAGCAAGCTCATCCAGATAACGGTATTATAGTACTGTTGAAAATTAGTGAAAACATGAAACTGAATTAAGGGAATTCGATCTTGCATGCAGCGTACAATATAATGGGTTGTTTGTTTTTGGAGTGATTGTTACCATGCCATGTCAAAATAGTCATAATCCTTTAATTATATCTTTCTGTTTTGCATGACCGGGCACATCTGATGACCTTTTTATTTTCTTTCTTCCCAGTGCCACATGCCATGAATTTTGAAGTCATGGAGCTGTCACAGCCAGCTTTCACCCTCACATTGTACTCCCTCAGTAGTGAGAGAGGAGGGGATGCTTAACAATCTCCCATTGCTCATTCCATCCCTTCACCTTCAGCATCGGACACACAAAATTGATTTTAATCAAGCAATAAAGTAATCTGATCCTCCCTCTGTTGACTCACTTTCATGCCCCAAAGAGGTCGACCTGATTGACTTTTCTGATGGATTTTTACTCATAACTGCCTATAGCCGTGTTCAATACAGACAATCTCTTTCGTTTTAGTTGCATTCAGGAAAGACTGATGATATATTGGTGTTTGCTGTGAGGTTTCAACAGTTTATTCATTAAATACTTTGATCCTTTAATTCTTGTCTCCCTGAGCTGCTCAAGAAGAAAAAGATTTGCAGGTCTGATAATGTGCGAGTAAGCTTTTACCGACGGTTCAATCTGAAATGAGTTTGCAAAGATGGATACAGTAGCACCAAAGCGATATCAATCTGTCTGCATTTGCTTACAGATAACTTTATTAATTTTCACTTTTTTTTTTATAGTGATATTTTAGTGACTGGTGCAAACACTTCTTCAAATCTAACTCTAATATCTAAGTAACTGCCTTCATCCCAAAGGGAGTTGTAATATAATAGAAACTGAATCTCCGTTATCTCAAAGAGAATAACTATAATTTATATGTAATATAATATTTGAAAGTGGACTTTTTTTTTATTTTCAAACTGACACAACCAGTCCACTGTCTTTTTGAAACTTTTTTTCTCTGCTGTGTTTATTAAACAGTTGGATCTGTTGAGTTTTGTAACTGATTTTAATTGAAAATTCCAAATCATTTGTACCATTTTCTGTACAGAATACCAGCTCCCTTTTATATTAGCAATCAATGAAAACAGTGGAACTTCATCACTTACATGCCATCTCTTTCTTATTTTACAGAAGCACCACGTTACAGAGTTAAAGGCTCTATCAAACTTGCATACAGTAGGCTGACACAAAATCCCCAAAGCTGTGATATTCAGAGTCCCTCATGGAAAAATTTATTCTATTTTAAAATGTGACCTCTATGCAAAGTTAAAGGGCAGATGGTCCATCATTTTATTGTCTGTTGTCAATTTTAGTTCTTGCTTCAGATTGCATTTAAGATTTAAAGTCCCTTTGGAAATGCTTGCGTAACCTGTGCATTGCAAAAATAATGAGCAGTTGTGATTCAACTGCTGCAGTGAGCACTGCGAATCTTGACAACAGATTCACACTAAAATGTAGTTGAAGTCAAGACTGAAAAAAAGCTAATGAGTGGTCATAGGTCATGATTTCACACCACAAATGCCTGGATTTGCTTTTACATTCTTGGTTCATTCAGGATTTTACAAGGGCTGTAATATAAGCCTATAATACAAATCACATTATATATCTGCAGGGCGAAAAGGCTGTTCTTCCTGTCCCACAGCTCTGGAGAGGAATTTAGATATTTTCTCTTTTCGGAAGTATTAATGGAGCCAGATTAGTCTTTGCTTCAGGCCGAGACGTGGAAAGCAATCTGTTCTCAGCTTTGTTTAACAAGTAATATGTGTTGCTTATCATTTCCTTACTTTCATTAGCTTTGGGGCCTGCGGCGCACAGTACTGCCACATACATATACACATTGGCATGTTAATACATAATTGATATGTATTGGTCTGCAAAATTACACTACTATTTCAATTTCTAACTTGTGGGGCATGAACTGTAATCATCAACATTTAGCGTGTAAGAGCAATAAGTACAAAGAAAAGAGACTTCCAACTTGAAAAGATATGACACAAATTTTTGTTTTATAGAAGCATCCGTTTAGTGGTGTGGATCTTTAAATATTTATTTATAAAGACAGACTGTAAGTGCGTCTTTATGGAAAAAATTATAATTCTTCACAGTTTTGTCCACACCTGTTTTGTCACTGTTAAAGGAAAACTACAGTTTATTACAACTTGGGTTTTATTGTCGATGGCCATCAGTCCTAGAAGTTATGATAACGTTGTACTCATCAAAGTTATTACTGAGATCTAATCTAAACATTGCTAAAACAAGCGGTCAGACAATTATACAGGTTGTAAACAAGTCGCTAGTTTTGCACCACTTTATTTAAATATAAACTAGCAGTATGAAAACCAAGTTGGACCAGAGCTGCCATGGATGTGTAAACAGTTTGGCATGAGGGATCATGCTTGTTACCCCATTGGACCTATTTATAATGGTGCCAACTGAGATCCTAGCAATTACTTTGGTGAGTCCAAAAATATCATGACCAATAGAACTAAGACAGGATTTACATGTCTTAATTGAAATTAAATCAGACAATACAAACTACAGCCTACGCTTACACCTTTACCAGAGCTACAAAAAATTCACTTTTCTACAACAAATACATCTTAGCATGTTTAATATATGCATAGAATAGTGCTTTTAGCTTTTATGCTGTTGGTGTTGTTGTGGTGCACGCTTTTGGATGATAACAAAACAAAAGCAAAAGTTCTCTTGGCTAATGTGTTCCCACAGTCTCCCGAAATAATTAATCAGAGGCACAGCTAATATTTCACTACATGGACATTGTTGTGTAAAATAACCACATACATCAGTGAGCACACACTGACATGATGCTGATCGATACCAGTCACACCTCTGTAACCTCACTGGCAGCTGAGATTTCCAGATGTCTAATAAGTAATTTCTGGTGTGGAGAACTACATCACACCCTCAGGTATTAATACTCCCTGAACTACATTTTATTACATGTATGTGTGGGAGTATTAGAAATTTTTTAAATCAGAACATGGTAATATCATGGGATATTTTACTTCTTGGCTCTACAGTGTGAACACTGCAGCTAGATTATTATATATGACTTATTATATATTTGTTATATAACTTTTGGGTTATATTAGAATAAGATACTTAATAATTGCATGAAATCTAAAATAGATTTGCTATTTGCAATGCAGTCACTGTATTTGCTTTGTGAATGTTATACAAACGGTCTAAATTCACATACTGTAATCCACAGCAAATGTTTTCTCAAATACTTTGTCAGGTAAGCTGTTTTGTCACCGGTTAGAACTAAAGAGAGCTGGATGTAATTTTTCAAATTAATTCCTGGTGATAATGGTGCACTAGGTATAGCAGTGTAGCAGCTGTATTATCATACCTCATAACTAAACGACAAAGTATTCAAAGTAATATATAATTTCAAAGTAGTAAATTGTCAATTGTCCCAAAAGTACATATGTAACCGTTCCCCAAAACGACATATATGACTTAACTGTGAAAGTACCAGATTGTGGTTTGGGTTAAAAGAAGTATGTGACGTCACGTAGGTAACGCAAGTCATGAGTCATGAGTTAGCATCAAGATCTACGTAACGTTGTGTAACTTAAAACACAGGACTCAAATCTTTCTCTCCTGGGGAAATGTCCTGAATTTATTCGACCCATCCATCTACCCTAACCACCTCTTTGCTCTTTAAATTATGTCAGCTGACTTCCTCCATTGCTACTCTCATATGGCTACTAGGGGTCATGGCCTAACAACGCAAGTATGGGTCGTAATAAGCTGGCTGTTTTTTCTGGTAAGGACAGTCTGTTCTTTTGCTAATTTTGGAATTTGGCTCTCTACTGCATTTTCTTCAGGTCTCGGTTCATCTCACAGTTTAAACAGTCATACTGCTATCATGGCTAATAAGGCTGGGTTGTGTTGTGAGGCACATTGGAAGAGACATGTTTCCTGATTTCTAATGGAACACAGCTAATCAGATCTGTGTGAGCTGACTCCCAGCTGTGCAACTTTGCAGAATTCACTGAGGAGTAAAGCGGAAAAGCTTAAATAAAGGGCAAGTCCATCTTGATCACATGCTTCTATGGTCCGGTGGCAGGCAATGAGACAGAAATGTCACATTAGCAATGCGAAGTGGTTTATTACACCATGTAGACAGTTAAACCAAAGTGCCGCTTGCTGTTTCTTGCCTTTTATTAAACATTGCATTTTGTGTAGTTAATCTCCAATGAATACTTTTTCTTATGTTTTATATTCATAGACAGCTAAAATATATTGAATATTGTGAAAAAATATCATCATACAGTGAATAGTGTTAATATTATTATTCAGTTTTGCATTTAAAAATCAGAAAGGCCAAAGGTTTCTTTCCTGTTTCCTTATTTGCAAAATTTACCGGATGGCAAATCAGTCTCAAAGAAAATCCTTCTGTCAGTTTCAATCAGCCATTTATCTCTTATGTTTTAGCTCCTTGATTACTTCTTGTAAAGAGCTTCATGAAGATGTAATCGAGTAGGCCTGCAGCATGATGAATTTAGTATTTATACTTGATTAAGATCAATTCCAGTGGGTGATTAGGGAAGAACATAAAGCTAATTTCTTTTGTTTTGTGCTGCTGTTTTAATTTGCTTTTTTTTCTTTACCAGTAGTCTTAAGTGGAAGAGTATACTTATGTGGTGGATTTGGAAAATGTGGCCATTCCTTATCTCATTTCCCTTTTAGACTTTGAAATGATAGAAACCATTAAAATGCATTCCCTTAGGTGCGACAGTGTTTTTTTTTTTTTTTTACTTCATCAAATTTAAATGATCTTTGTTCAGATAGTTTAATTTAATAAGAAATAGTTTCTTCTGTTAGCTTTTGTAATACCATAGTAGAACTAGGTAAGGTACTGAACTTTCTGTCTGTGCGAATTTCGATTTAAACTTATTTGTACAGTATTAATGAGGCCAATCCATTTTGAGTTTTATGGCGAGTTGTTGGGTAATGCATGGCTCACTTGGTGTCTGCAGTTGTACAGTGGGGGCCAGGGAGGATGTGATGTCTCACCATAAGGCCTTTCACTCCACTACGATAATGCAGTTTAATCTGGAGGCTACACCCAAGGCACTGACATGTCCCGCAGAGCATCAGCCTGCATTGGACAAACTCAGTGGAAACCTTGACTGGCACTTCACCCCTCAGTGATGACAAAAACCCTGTCTGCTTAAGCAGCTATTACTCTACCTGATTGGTAATCATGACATGGAGTGGGGCATAAATCCCTCAGACTGCTGCTGGTTAAGATAGAGGTCTTTGAAGGAACATGGTGATTATGTGACCTTGGATGGAGCATGGAAAGGGGCCAGGCAAAAGAAGAGCTGGGGGATGTACTTTTCTATTATTGGCAGGATAATGACACATTCTCATGCAAATGAAATTCACTTACATAGGCTCCATTCAAACCAGTGAGCAGCTCACAGTCCTTTAAAGGTGTTGACTGTTTTCTTACAGGAGTGTACATTACATTTCACTTCAGTGGTCTTATCAGCCTCAAATATGATGCAT